CATTTAGAAGAAAGGAAAGCCTGGTTCACAAAGGCAGAGCAAAAATGCACCACAGTTTATATCCTACAGCTAAGCTCTGGGGCTTTATTATTTTTCAGCAGTTCAGCAAATGGGTGACATACTACTAGACACAAAAATTTAATTTAAACGGACAATGTCAAGTGGTTTACACTCCAAATTTAACCTACTTTGAAAATGTTATGATCTGGAGAAGGAATCTAGTCTGAAGTTCTCATATTTTAGTCCAGAGGGGGGAATTAAAAACTGTCACTATAGAAATTCAGCACTGCTGTTCTGATTCCTGGCTACTCTCCAGGCCTGTTGCAGACAATGAAGACGACTGTGATTGGATTGTATTTATTTTGGAGTCCAAGACTCTTGGACTTTTGAAGGGACTCATTGAAGAGTCCGAGACTCTTCTTTATCCTTGTAATGTGCAATGGCTGTCATCCACAATCCCACAGCCCTGCCCCAGCCAAGGGAAGATGATGTGTTGACACAGATGGATTTTGCCCTTTTTGGTGGAGCTGTGAGTTTGCTTGGGCAACACATCCATCTGCTGGATTACCCGAGCAGCCCCGGGAGTGCCAGGACGGCCCCGGTGCCAGGAAGCGCTCTGACAAAGATCCAAGACTGTCATGCAGGTTTGAAATCCCATGGGGAGCCAGGAGGGTGAGCAGGGAACAGAGCAGCCATGAGCAGACGTGCAGCATTTTGTGCTCGTTATCAGTTTTGGGCACAGCAACAGCACTGGCAAGACAGGCAAGGCACTGCCTGCGAGAGAGTCCCAGGACTCCCAAGAGCCCAGAAGGCACCACCTGAGGCTGCTGCCACGAGAGAGTTTACTGCCCTCGAGGAACCCAAAAATACAGCTCAAACTGACCACTTGTGGACGCACATTTTTCACCAAAGGAGACTGTTTGGACTGAAAATATCTCCTCCCCCCTTCCATCGGCTTCTGTGCACTGCTGGCATTCAGCTGCTGAGACTTGATCTAATCAATGCTCATATGGGGAGGTTTGTCTGGCCTGGAAGATGATATTATGGAATAGGTCTATCAAATTTGTCAGTGTCTTCGCCGACAATTTTCATGAATATATAACATTGAAATATGGCACATCCATACTGACTTATTCCTTATGGTGCTCAAAATGGCTTGAAAAAAAACCCTCTGTAATTTGATAATGAGAAGGGATAAAGTCATTAGGGGGATAATTGCTAATATCCAGATCTTAAGAAGAGACTATAAATACTAAAGAATACAAATAGGCAAATGGATTAACAAGATGAGAACCCCTTGATTACCTGGCCTCTGAATTCCAAAATGCCACCAAAACAGCCTTATCTATGCATATAATGGGGAAATTCAAGAAAACATCCATCATGGGACTTTCAGCTCAGACACTACATTCTAAAACATACATTACACTTAAAATGCTTCAAAATGCTCTTTCATGGAAATTGCAAGATAAAGTGTATTTCTATTGGATTTGAGGGAAAAATTGCACCCATTCATTTATTCAGCAAAACCAAATCTCACTGCACAAACTTGATCAAGGTCAACGATCTGCTATTTGTTGAGGAGAGTGAAAATCTCCCCAAGTCTAATAAATACCTTGGGGTTTCAGAAAGAGGAGAGGCCAGAACTGCACAGAGGCACAAATGCAAAGTGTACAGACCCCGTGTTGACACGCAGGGCACAGGCAGCCATGGCAAGGGTGGAATGGTGACCCTGGACAGGCAGGACAGGGTCAGAGAAGGGCCTCCTACAGCTCTCTCTTCTCAGGTTTGCTTTTGTGTAAAAGAGGGTATCACTTTTTGGGTGATATTGGTCTGGCATTTAAGAGTGCTGGCATAAAGCTTGCCTGCGTAAAGCAATAGCCCTTAGAAACCGAGGCGATGCAAACCTACTGTGAAGATTTACCCCCCAAAGGAACGAGTACCCTTGGCTTTGCAAACCAAAGATTTATGTGTTATTGGTGAGCATCAGCAGGCTGGCAAGAACAGGAGGGAGCAAAGAAGCTGGTGGAACAGACAGTTTGAATAGCTGGATGTGGAAAAACTCAGCTGGGCTTTGGGACTTGCGGCTGTTTGCAGAGCTGCTGCCTTCGCGAGCCCCCGTGGTGGGCGTGCGGGGGTGGTTATGGAAAAACCCGCACTGCTCAGCCACCACAGTCCCTGCAAAGAGCATTTGGCTGCATTAGCATAATTGACAGCATCAATTATGCCCACTGCTATACTCTCCCCTGGGAAAGGCGGTCCATACAAGCCGATGTTTTTAAAAGCGTGCGGTGCTCACGGTCTCGGTGATTTTTAGTGCCATTAAATGATAGAGAACAAAGGTATTCTGTGAAAAGCTGCAGGCTCAGGGAAATTGCTTCAGAGGCTGAGGAACTGTTGCTTTTTCACACAAAGCTCCCCATGGTTAGGGCAGCATTTCCTGTCTGAGGAGATACGAAGGTGGGAAAAAAGTAGCACACACCACATTCTTATCACAGCCATCACCATCAAATGTTTCTGCATCTGAAAGAACATGAGGATGGCACAGAGCTTCCTGTCTGGCAAACAGCGATGCATGAATGTTCACTGAGCCTCAGTTTTATACTGCTGCCTTCCTTTTCCCTTACTATTTCCAGAAGGCTGGAGTTGCTGCAGCTTTTTGACACAGCAGTCCCATTCCCCTAAGGTCTCGTGACGGGGTTATGCCCCAGACATTTGGGGACACTGGAGGCAAGTGGATTGCCCTGCATGAACTAGCGATTTTCATCCTACATGCTGTTACTGTATGGAAAAATGAAAAATTTAAGCCAGAGGAATAGGTGCACGCAAAATTTAACCTCAGCTGGCACAGGCGACTGTGGCTGAGGTTAAATCAGTGGATAGAACCTGGTGAGACCTGCCCAGGGAACACAGTCACCACCCTTGAGAAGCCCACTGAGGCCTGAGCCACACCAGAAGCCCCAAGAAGTGGCTTTCTAAGGAGCAACAGTGGTGTCTTCCTGTGCCTGAGGTACCTACTGGACTTCCCTGCTGATTCAGGATGCCTCCATCACTCCCTCTTCTGTAGGGGAGGAAGGTGTTCTCTGTCCTTTCCACAGGTCTTTGTCATCTCTCACTGGACCATCTGCTCCCACACTCCTGACCTCCTGGTGCTTGGAGACCATCTCCACTACAGACCTGCTCCTCTGTGCCTTGGCTCTGCCCTCCTCCCTGTCAGGTAACCCAGATTCCTCCCTCCTTGGCTCCCAACCCCTGACAACACTTTGCTGCAGTCAATTTTCTTCTACCCACCACCTCTTCTCTTGAATGTGGGCTGAAATATCATCTTTCTTAAGCAAGAGCTGTTTTCTTCCTCCTGCTCACTTGAGCTCAAGGTGCCTTTTGTGCTCCTCTTCCTCCATGACCCATGACATGGCTTTCTTTTGTTACCACTGTGATCTCCTCCTCCTCCCTAATCCCCAACCTGCCTTTCCCTCCCTTCTTGTTACTTCCTGCTGTCTCCTCTCTAGCTGATGTAGGTCCCTGCCATCCTAAAGCAAATCCACTAGGACAGGCTGCACACTGAAAAGGGGCTCCAGGCCTTCATCTCAGCCTGTGCTCTCCTCAGCTCTCCAGCAAGAGAGAGAAAAGATCTAAAATAATATTACTTGGCCTTGTTTCTAACTTAAAATAAATCATTTTGGCCTACTTGGCCTTATCTCCTGTCCTCTGTCCCCACAGGACACAACATCAGCCTTTCCAGCCTTTTAAGAAAACTGACTACTACCTCCCAAAAAAGATGAGGGTAATCAAGAGTTTGGAGGAAAGACACCGAAGACTTTTTTCTTTGCATGTCTGTCTTCACCAATGGAAGGCCTCCTTGGCAGTAGGACACACCTGGACCATGGCTCACCCTTGATCTTTTAGAAATTCATCCCAACATTTTCCTTCCACAGCAACTTCTACCCACCCTGCTCCGCGCTGCAGCAACCCCCAACACCTCGCACTGCTCTGTCTCACCGAGACATCACTTATTCAGAGCTCTATGTTTTAATCATCACACACTGTTTTAAGTAGGAACAGAACAATCATTTCTAAGGCTGGGTGCCCCACTGTCACAGGGATGGCACAGGAGATGACCAGCTGGATTAAATACTGCCTCAGCACTCTCCCAGCAGTAGGAAATGTTCACACCTGTGAAACCATCACCTGGGTTTCACCCGAGCCATGCAGCTCAGGCAAACCCAGCAATCCACACCTACTCTCTCCAAACACTTCAAAACCACAGAAATATCTTGAAACTGAAGCAATGAGTGCATCACCTGACCCATTTTCTCCAGACCTTCCCAGAGGCTTTCGTTCTCAGTGTGAGCTGTGAACATTTGCATGCACGTGCGTGCGCACGCACGTTCAATTTCTAAATCAATCCTCCCAGGCAAAGGGTGTAAAAAATGTCTCCCAAACCTCACTAGTATTTACATGTTTTTAATTTCAAGTGCCATATAGGGCTATTCAGCCATTATATTTTACTATAGCTTCTAAATAAATTAAACCCATTTATCACTTAAACCCCCCACATTTTAAGAACCTTATTAACTTCATAGTTAAATGCTGACAGGTAATATCTATTATGGCAGCGTTTCATGGTATCCCAGCAGTGCTGTGAGCTGGATTTTCACTTCCTTAAACCTGTATTTCATGACAAAAATATGCATAATCTAGTGCACTGATTCTGTAATTTTCAATAATGTCTGCTAATTCTGGCAAATAATTTACAGTACTTATTTCCTCCGTCACAACAGGTGTTTTATGGCCAGAGTAGTTGTAGGCTGACAAAAATAGAAGCAGCCCATTTATTAAGAAGAGAGTTTGTAGCAAAAGAAAGAGTAAGGAAAGACAGCGTTTTCTTAGAGTAAATCAGGAAAACCGTACTAGAAGATGAGAACACCTCAGCAAATGAAGGAAAAAAGAGACTTACACAGATCCTGTGAATTGTGATTCTCACAGAATAGGAACCGTACCTGCATAATCTGTCCTTGCATAATGCCCATCTTCTGATTTTGTAGTGGTTGTAGTATTGTCTGTGTGAAAAGAAATGTGTTGAGTTGCCTGGGGAGCCCGGACTTGATACAGCCCATGCCCCCACCACAGTGCCCTGGCAGAGGTAACTTCCCTTGCACACACATCATCTCTGCTGGCTGCAAGGCTCTCCTGGGCCTGCCAGGTGAAAACAGCAGGATCTTTTTTCTAACAATATGTGATAACAGATTGCAGCTGGGATAAATATATCAGTCTGAAGCAGGAGTTGTCATTTCTGCTCTACTTGAAGTAATTGGGGAGTTTTAATATGTACCCTGAAATGAACTGCCACTTAGGGTGGTTAACTTTAAAGAGACAGGAGTAAACTGGAATGTGTTTAATACACCTGTATACCACGGCCTTGTAAGTAGATGTACTGAGGATTTATGGGTCAGAAGCTAAGGAAAAGAAGCTATTGAGAGTCTGAGCCTCAGCAGACACTTTATTTGCAGGAGCTATTGAAAGGTAAATTATCTTCATTTTAATTTTAGAGAAAAACAGGGTTTTTAAAGTCAGCTCAAGGGTTACAGGTGATGTAGCAGCCCAAGAGATGGGCACAGAGAAGCACTGGAGGAACAGAGAGAGCCTCGAGCCATGACTGGAAAACTTCCTTCCAGGCATCTTGGGGCCCAGCAAGGGTCACCTGAAGAACCTCCCAAGCACTGTGTTTGGGAGCACCTCTTCAGGGAATCTCCCAAGACTGCCTCATGCTGCTCCAGTTAAGGGAGCACCAAAGGGTCCATCCTGGGTGGAAAAATGTAGCTGAGGGGCATTCCCACTGTCCTGCTCCAGCTGCTGCCTGGCAGACAGAGCTCTGGGCAGGAGGCTGGTGACTGATGCAAAGCCAATGCAGGGCTGGGCAGTGCCCTGCTGCTGCTGGGGGCAGGGTTAGGAGTGGTGCCCCCCTCTCATGCCTCGCTGTGTCTGCATCACAGAGGGCTCTGCCTCTCACCACAGCCTGTGCTCTACAGTATCAACTGCAGCACTCTAATGGAAATATAACAATCACCAAATAAGAAGCCAGCCCTGGTTCTGGTGGTTTTTTTTTTTTCTTTCTTTTTTTTTTCTCCCTGAACAAAAATTGAAAACATTCTTTGAAATGAGTTTTGTTATGAGAGTTACCTTGACATCGACCCAAAGACATGACTTCAATTTTCTCCTGTTTCTGGCATGATGCCTCTTTGATTTGACATGCATTATCATAAGATTTCCCATCGGAAGCACAAAGAGGATTGAAGTTGGTTTGAGAACAGTCAATGTTGCACACACACCTGAAAAGATATAGAAAGAGAAAAAAGAAGAGGCTAATATGAGAAACTTTTTCAAGACATCATAAATACATCTCAGAAATATAAGTGTTTGTATTATCCTGACTGTACAATGCAAATCAACATAATGAAAGCAGAAAGTTCTGTCAAGAGGTCATTTGTATTTCTTGATGGAAATGAGATGCAGGGAGAGGGAAGAAGCACATAAAAGAAAGCAAAAAGAAAGATAAAAGAAGTGTGTTTTACATGGAAAAAACTGTACCACAGCATTCCACTTGTAATGCCCTGTAAACCAAAGAGATATGCAGATAAAGCAAGCTGCTGAGCCCTCCTGCAAACTAAAGAGCCACAACATTCTCCTCTGTTCAGGTGCCATCCATTGTATGGAATACCACATAAATGTGGGTTTATATTGATTTATGATTTAATTCTGAAAATAATTACAGCACCTAGAGGCCCTCTGATTGTAACAGATGTGAAACTGAAGCCTCACTTCACTCCACTGGGATGAAACCAGCTGCCAAGACTGGAGCAGGGATGTGACCGCACTCTCTCTGTGCCTCGGGCTGGTGGGATCTCCCCAGCTCCTGGACACACAGAGGCTACTCACTATAAAAACCAGGGGAATGCTGGTTTAGGAAACACTTTGTGCACAGGGACTTTCTGAAGCACTTGGATAACTCAGCAAGCAAAAAGCCTTATGCAGGTGTTACCCAGGAAAGTCTCCTGACCTGGTATCCTGCTCTGTGAGGGGTAAAGGCTCCCATGTCCAAGAGCACAGTGTGGGGCAAATGCAGTCAGGGCAGTGATGGCCCCATCCTCAGATTGCTTAGGGCCATTTCCAGAGACTCCAGAACCCAGTTTGTGAGCTCCTGGGCTGCCCTGTGATGTGAACCAGAGCACAGGGAGGTATTCACTTCCACAGTCTGCTCTGGATCTGAACTAACACACTAATGTGGACACATCCTGATCCCAGCAAGCTTCACCACTGCTTCTAAATGGAGACACCTAATTGTTTCCATTGACATCAGGCTGCAGACTCTTTTCTTTAGGTTTCTCCTATTTCATTATCATTAGCAATGTCAGACAGCCTTTGGCATCGGCAGGGGAAAGGCACGCTAATCTTCTGTCCCCCAGCTGTGCCATGTAACAGACAGCTCAGCCTCAGCAAACCCACTGCGATCTTGCTTGGGGACAAAGCCAGAGGTCTAACCTGGCAGCTGCTCCAGCTCTTCTGAGCACGTAATTGTGCACATGCTGCTATCCAAACTCTTCCTGGCTCCTCCTGACATTAAGGCAAAGCCATGCGATTAATTCTCTATCTCCAGCCCCCTGGTTGTGCTGAACCTGGCAGTGCCAGCTCCACAGCTCTCCCTTTGGAAAGCTAAGTAATGGAAATGTCAAGCCTCCAGCCTCGCTGCTTGATTTAAGAAAGTGTTTAAAAGTCAGTCCACCTCCCATTTGCAGCAGACATCTGGACACCTTTGACTACTGGAGGTGTAGAGGGATATACACAAAACTTGGGTGGAAAGAGGAAGAAGGAAATTGGAGAGTTTGGGTCAGATCTCTTCATCGCCCTGTTTGGCTTCTGGCCTCCAGGAATGTGCCCAGGGCAATAGAAAACAGTGGAACCAGTAGCTGTCTTTTAGAATTTTTTATTTTACACTGGGTAGGTCTATTTACCCCAAATGTTCACTAAATACAGAAAACTTCAGTTTAAAAAGAGGCCAGTGGTGAAAAGCTGTGGTTATAAATTAAATTACATGATTTCATAACTTGAAGAAAAGCATCTAGCTCCCTGTGTGTAGCAATTTCCCCACACTGATAAACATACAGAATATAAGAAAAAAAATATCCAGTGCATTTCCCAAGAATCTCCTTATCAGCAGAATAAGAATGTTCTGCTCCACTGAAATATTAACCATCATCATTTCTTCCTGCAGCCATTTCCAGCTTCCCACCTTAGTCAAACTCACTTCATTAGGAAACATTTACTGCTCAAGTAATAGCAATTCTTTCCACGTAGCTCTACCATTTGCATTTCAGATGGGACACAATCAGCCATATGCTCCTTTTTTTTTTTTTTTTTTTGTAATAAACCAGCTAAGAAACAGCTTCACTTCTCTACATTTTCCTACAGAAAAATGAGTGAAGGTTAATATATATTATGTTTCAAGTCAAGAGAAAATTAAGCCAATGGGAAAATTACAACAAAAGGGTGCTCTTTAGGGGAAATCTCAGCAACTTTGGATGCAGTTTCAAGAATACCTAGGGGATGCAGGAACCTATGCTCAGAGTTAGACACTTTAGAGACATATTTTTAAGGTGTTTAAATGCTTCAAGATGCACACAAACACTTTGTGTGGGATTTCTGGTATCCCAGAGACCTATTTCCCACTGATTTCACATACTGCTTCAGAGCCCACTAGGCATTTATTTACATCTTCTGATACCTTCCAAAACACAAAGACCCAAAATTACTTTCCTGACCTCTTCCAGCAAAACTGAGAAGAGAACCAAGGTTTTTCTGTACCCCACTCTAAAATTTCAACCAGCCTTTCTTCCCAAGCACCACGTGCTGCTTGTGCTGGGGTCAGATAACTCTGAAGCAGAAAAAGACTCCCTCAGGATGACACCAAATGCTCCAAAGCCTTATAGGATCCCATGTGTGAAGCCTGATTTCCAGGGCTAGCTAGAGGGATGCTGAAAAAACACCAAACTTGCCACCTGGATCTTGCTGCAAGGATCATCCACTCCTTGCACAGTTTTCAGCAGACAGCTTCTAGCTTGCACCCACAGTTCATTACTGCTTTTGCACTTATACACTCAAATCCTACTTTAAGGCTGCACAATTAAGTCGACATCAAATATATGTCAGGAAGTGAGAAAGGTAGGATTGCATCAGGAAGATTAATGTGCCTGTGTTGCTGGCTCTTTTTAATTTATAGTGCTCCTCTTATCAGGGAAAATGATGGTATTCCAACACATTTTTTCGAACTGGAGGAAGCAAAAGTCTGCCCATTTGGACCATGCTGCCGAATTCCAAAACGGCAGATTGCAGTGAAAAAGGTGAGGCATGTACTCCAAACCTGTGTGTCCAGGCAAATGCAGCCTCTGAGAATAGCTCAGACTTCAGGGGGATTCACCAGTGAGGTAATAAATGCATAATGAACAGCACTTAATGCATTGGATTGAATGAAAACCTGTAAAGGTGCCTTCACTTCTTGAAGCATTATAAAATGCAAGAGTGGGACTCTCTTTGGTTAAACAAGAACAAGAACCAAACAGTGACATCGTCACTTGGCTCAGGGTGTGTGTTAGGTGAGAGCACCAATGGTGTTATTTTCTGGGCACAGAGAGTACCTTTGGCTCTTGTGGGACCCAGAAAGGCCCTATCCTGGAGAGAGTCTCCCCCTAATCCTTGCCAGGCACAGGGCTGGCAGCACCCACCCCACTGCCAAGGGTGTGTCCAATGGGCTGGCTGGCTGCCTGCAGCTTCCCAGTCCCTGAGGCACTCCAGTATGCCTTGAATTTCAAGTAATTGGATCATTTGACCATGTTATCATCCTGCCTCTGACTTCTGATTATAGTTCTATCAATAAATCTATTTGCTTTCTGTGTTCCTAAGTGTAGCACTGAAGAAAGCCTGGCAATAGAAAGGCTGACTGAGCGTTCCTGGCGCTCAAGACGCTGTGGGAAGGTCAATGAGGTCTCCTAGGGGGGGTCACAGAATGAAACTGTACCCAAGAGCATACACAGAATATGTGTGTAAGATTTAACCATGCCTTCTGCAGTCAGAAATGCAGCTTTAAAAGCCTCTGTGAGGAAGCCTCAAGACGTCAGCAGATACCCTGCAGCTCCTCTGAGAAAGGAAGGAATTCTGTTCCACAGGCCCTTTGCATTCTTCAAGTAATGGGCTCATATGTTAATTGATTAAAATTTGGGCTGCCACCATAAACAATCATTAAACAAGGCTTATTTTCTTATGTATTTTCTTCCAGGTCATTGTGATAGTCGCCAATGCATTCCCTTTCTTTTATACGCTTTATTTTATTCCATTTCATTTCACATGATGATAATCCTGGAGGAGCTGAACATCCAGAAATCAATATGGTTACTTTGGTAATCATGGAATCAAAAAACACCCAAAGCAAACTAAAAAGACTGTTGAAGGGGCAACCTTGGCACCTCCTGAGGGGATTTTGGGCTACATCCCCATGGTGGATCTTGCAACACTGCTTGATGATGTTGCTGGACTCTGTCATGAGAAAGTCACACCCAGGATGACCAGAAAGTGTCTGCAGGCAGAGGTGCAGCTCTGCAGATAAGATGCAGGAGAGGCCCAGGAGGATGCCTGGGGGAGAGCTGACAGAGCTGAGCTTAGCCTGAGGCAGGTGAGATGCTGACAGGCACCTCCTTGTGCCTCACTGCCCACCTGTGGGGGGTGTGTCCCTGCACTCTGGTCTGTGAGCTTTGGCAGCTTCCATCAAGGCAGGAACTGCAAAGAGGGTTCCCAGCAGCACAAGGGAACTCATGAGCATTTTGGGATTTCACCTGGTTATTGTGCTTCATCCCTCCCCAGGGAAATGAGAGAGGAGCACAAAGAACTCCTTCCCAGCCTGGATCCTAATCACAAAGAAACGCTGCCCAGCCCTCAGCCTGCTCCACGTGCCTGCAGTGGTGGGGATGTGCTGCACCAGGCTGCTTGGCCAAGCTGGAGCAGCCAAATTGGCTTCCTGTTGAATCAGTCTCCATAAAAAATTAATGGGGTCAATAAATCAGGCAGGGGTGAGTAGACACTCTCCTAACGCCCCACGCTTCTGCAAATAACATATGGTATTATTTTCTGGGCAAAAAGAGTACCTTCGCCTGCAGAAAGCAAGATACTGAAGAGAGGATACATGGCTACAAAGGGCTGTCCCTGGAAGGAGGAGCTGTGTTTTAAGGAGGAGTCTCAATAAAATGAGAGAATGGTTCTTTGCCCACGAAGGGCAGGAGAACAC